CACGATCAGTAAATGATTGATGATATTTAGCATAATTATTTTCATGCCATTCATTTGGATTGTATTTATTTGAACGAAAACCAACAGTAGATATACCTATACTAGATCCTGTTTGTCCACGATAACTAGGATCAAATTCATATTTTTCTGTTGACAACATCTTTTCTTTTTTTTTCCAACACGAAATACTGAATTGATTTGTTTCTCGAGCATGAGTTGAAACATTACCTATCGACAAACATTTACAGCTGACGTTGTCAAGCAACAGACCTATAGGAGAAAAGTTATGATGAAATATATTTATTATATATGTAGATGACATCTACAAACGGTTAACGAGAGTCACATGTCTGAATAAAACAAAAAAATAAAGAAAAATTAGTTACCTAGATTTTGATAAAACAATCAAAATGTTTTTTTTTTATGTTGTTAAGAAGAACTTTGAGAATGAATTTTTCAAAGATGTCTTTTGAAGCAAATCATAAGATCAAGATATAAATTAGATACATAAACGTTGACACACACATTTTTCTTTTTGTCATGGTTAAAGAATTTTGATTTGTAAATCTCATGCAAACCAATTCTTTTTTATTTCACATTCATAATAAAACGATGGAAAAATTCTCATAAACAATTCAAAAAAATTCTTATGAATTTTATGTTACTTGTATCTTTGTCACTATAAGAGATAGAAAACTCAAATTTTAAGTGTGGAGTAGATCTAAATGTCTATAAATATCAGCCTATTCTATCGAAAAACAACATATAAGAAAAGAATACTAATTGAAAGAAATCAAAACTTGTTAGATACTCTTTATATATTAAAATCAATGAGCAGATTCCAAGGAAAAAGAAAATTTTAAAAAAATAGTCTTTTTTTAAATGCTTTTAAATTCAATTGTTGAAACTAAAATTAGATCATATAAATGCAATTATTTGATTATATGACATCAACAAATTACGAATATAAGATTTTTGTAACTGCATTGAAGATCACTACAGATTTAAATCACATTTAGTTATTTTTCTAAATGTTGTAAAATAATGTTTGAGATCATTCCTGAAAAATGGTCATCTTTATGACTTGTCAAAATAGAAATTTTGATTGTTCATCTAATCATTTGTTTCTTGTATCATATTCTCATTTGAAAATTTACATTATCGATGAGTTCATCTTTATATGTTATTTACAATAAGAGAAAATCAATGAAAAATAAAACACTGCATCTGATATACGTAAATAAAATCTGAAATCATTGCAGAAATAAAATTACAAAACTATGCCGTTTGAAGATAGATAAGCTTTGCATATGTAGAAGCAATTAATACATATAATAAATTATTCGAGAAAGAAGAGTAATAAATCATGTATTTGATTTTAGTTGTATTGATTCTCTAAAAGTTAATAATCACTGATTAAATTGAACGAATCAAAAGTTTAGACATACAGAGTATTAGAAGAGTATTACACAGATACGTCGTGTTGAACAACAGTGCAATGAAATAAACATAATCAGAAGATTTTCATTAAAGAATTCTTAATTAAAGACTTTGTCTATTGATTGGTTGATTAGATTTTTATCGAACAGAAGATAATTAATGAGATTTATAAAATGTTGAATACATTAAGATGAACTTGAGTTTTCTGTATGACGATAGTGGTATTACATTGCCTACGCCATACGAAAAAGTATGAAATTTTTTAATCGAGAAAAGAATTTGATTAATAACGATTTCTTTTTTTTTCTCTAAATAGAAAAATTCATGGCTTGAATGGTTTCGTTTACGACGAAGAAAACCAAATTCTGAAGAAGAAATCAATGAAATTCATGATCTTACTATTAATGTTTATGAATCGATGGATGATCAAGCACGAGCTATTCTTCTTTCTCTATCTAAAATAATTCAAGATGAAGATGAATCCGTAACAATTGAAGAAAAAATCAAAGCTATTGTTGCAATTGGTCATACACTTTGTTGTGGTATAGATTAACAAAAAAACAAAAAAAATCTTTGAAAATGAATTAAAATTTATTTATTTATTTTAAATGATCATATAGCTCATATGCAAGTAAAAAATTCAACACAACTCTATTCAAAATTACTCGTTCGAGCATTGTCTCATCAAGATTTACGAATGCGTTTGGCTGCCATGATTGCTATTGCTGAAGCAGCAATTGATAATCTTAGTTTTCAAATGAAAGTAATTCCTATTGATTTGATAAGACATTTTTTTCGACTCAAGGTAGAGAACATCATAGGATGTGTATCCTGTCGGACATTGAAGTCGTCTAATTGATCGTGATCCAATGAAGTTCTGATCGAGTTGTGAAACTCGTCATAATTTCCCATTATTATCAATAGTAGTCAGAAGTGTAGCTGGCATACCAGCGACTAGTGCTTCGATGAAAAGATTATTTAACTTAGTTGGATTGACAGTTACTGAAAGATGAATACGTTTATCACCAAGTGAAATTAATAACATTCTATTGATTCGTTCGTACAAGAATCTCAAGAAAAAGTAATAAAAAGAAAGCTTATCTCTTCTCGTTGTTCATCTGTTAATATTGATTACATTCTGAATCCTATATCTTTATGTTTGTTTTGCTAACGATATGGTTGTCAAATATTTTTTTTATTGTTCAATTCATTTCTATGGGAAAACATGTTATCAGATTTATTAACATGATTATATTATAAATTAGTTTTGCATAAATAATGTGTCTATGATATTTAACATCATACCTCATATACAGATACGTTTTTATCTTGTCGAAAATGTAATGAAAAGATCGTCCTTCAGGCTAGATGCAGGCGATTCATTTGTCCTGCCAGGACGAAGAAAATCGCCCTATGGCATTCCCTGATTGGAAACGTCGCAATAATTCGACAAAAAAATATTCTTCTGTAGATATATATATATATCCATTTGTATTTCTTATCTTATGAAGAAAAATTTTTCATCCTTGTAAATTTTAGAAATATTACACAAAAGACTATTTTCTTATTTTATTAAAGCAAAATATGACGGTTATTTTTTTACATATCAAAAATATGTATTTGTTTTTCATTGAAAGTAGTTATTCAACTAATAGATTTTATGTGAGTCAGTTCTATTTCGTATAATTATTGAAGTAAGATTCGAGTAACTCAATATTTAGAATTGATATTATCTTTTTCTTTCAATAACAGAATAAGCTTATTTCCGGTATAAAACAATTTTCATTGAATTTTTTTTCTTCAGTTAAATGAGATTGATATAATACCAAAACTATTAGAAATAATGAAAAACTCAATGCCACATGCTGGTCGTGGACTTAACGATATAAATGAACATTCAAAGTTAGTTGCATGGAGTTGTTATACAATTGTCAATATTTGTGCTAATTGTATACCAAATATTCTTCTATTAAAAGGTAGAAAAAAAAAAACAGGATTACAAATGTATTATACATATGTAATTGTTTCTTTTCTTGTTTTTTTTTAATATCATAAGATATTGTTCCTAGTGAACTCGAAATTTTAAATGACGCTATTCAAATGGAAATTTGGTGTTATGTTTGGCGTGAAAATTATGCTCAAACAATTGTTGAATTTGCTGATAGGAAACTAATTTCTAATATTATATGTAACGCTATTCAACCAAAATCATATATATTTGAAAATCATCATGAACAAACATCGAATAGAAGTTCACTTAATAATAACAACCAAAATTCATCAAATCGTATGTCATCTTCAGTTAATTATCAACGATGTACAATCCTTTAATAAATCATTAAAGAGGATTTAAATCCTTCGTTTAACTATGGACATATAAATATAAATCAGTGATAATTGATATTAAAACTTAATGAATAATAAATGAACTTGTGTACTTTTTATTAATAGGCAATGTAAAAGTCTTCGAGAGAATGTCGAAATCTATTTCTCAACAATGTAACATCGGATTGACTTCGATATTTTCTTGTTTGAAAGAGAAAAGTTTGGAGAATATATACTTAAAGAAAAAACAAAACAGTTTTCTGGAACACTCATTCTTTAGTATCGTTTCGATTCACGTTTCTCATGAAAAATAGAATGAGAAAAAAAATCGTTTCTGCCGGACATTAATGATAAATCAATTTCATCAATACAGCAAGTAAAAGAAAAAAGAATTTCAAAGAGAAAATCGTATTATTCTTACTAGTCACGGTTAAGATTTCAATTTATTAGAGATATTTACTTTGTAGTCTATTATTTCTTTCTAGAGATCTCTAAAAAGTAGCTTGTCATGACATTTACTTCATAATCAAGTGTTTAGTATATGTATCATACTTGAGATTTTATTACTCATGAAAGAGTAATTGTTCTTATATATAAATACTCTACATACATTTGTTTGAATATAGCATCAAAAAGATTATTTCAATATGTATATATTTAATCGGAATTTTTTTATTAAACATAAACAAAACATTGAAGAGAGAAAAATGATTTAAAAATGACGCCGACATTTTCTATCAGATAATTTGAGCATCTTACTTTTTTTCTTAGGAATCAAATTCAAATCTTTTGAAAAAAAAATAACTCTTTCATTTTCATCGCTCTTTTTCTTTTTATTGATTTACCTTATGAAACTTCTTTAAATTAATCTCCAAACAATTACTTATTCCTAAGTCAAAGATTATTATTATCAGTTATATAATATAATCAAACAAGAAAACAACGCCATCTATAAAGAAGATTTTTATTAGATAAAACTACATTTTTTAAAATTCTTTCTTCAACTTCTTTTCTTTTTCTTAACAATTCATATGATTTTTAATATAATTCTATAAATAATTTTCAAATCCAATAATAGATCTTAATCAATGTGAAATGATTCATTTTGTTATTGCGAGGTCAAATGAGATTGAATCGATCAAATTTAAGCAACGAAATTGAGTTTTGTTTTGTATTTATTTAACATTTCTTCCTAGATGAAACGAAATCTTACTTAAAAAATTTTTAAAAAAACAATGTCTTCAGAATCTACAGTAACAAAACCAACATTTTCACCAAATCGTACACGTTTAAAAACTTCTGATCAAAATAATTCTAATGAACATGAATTATCATCTTCAGCAGCAAGTGAAGAAAGTCATACATTATTATCTGAAACTGTAACAACATTAGCAAGTAATGTTTATAATGAATTAGAACGTATTATAAAAAATTTCGGTGAAAATAGTGTAAAAGATTTAATGCCTGTTATGATATCAACATTAGGTTTGTTGAATAAAATTACAAACAAAAAATTCAATAAAATTTTCTTGATAATATTTTTTAGAATCACTTGATAGTGCTCTAAATGAACGTGAAGTTAGTAAACTTGAAATTGAATCATTAAAAGAACAGAATGAACAATTATTTCAACAATATGAACGTGAAAAAGGTTTTCATAAAGAATATCATCAGGTAAATTTTTGATTTATCATTTAACAAAAAAAAACAAAAAACGATTTTAAAAATTTTTATATTTAGCGTTATCTTCAAGTTGAAGATCATCTTGAAGAAATGAAACGTGAAAATGATGAAAAATTACAAAGTCTTGAATCTATTGTTAAAATATTTGAAATAAAAGCACGAAATGCATCAGATCATGTTGCTCGTTTAGAAGAAAAAGAAAATGAAATGAAAACTGAATATAAACGATTACATGAACGATATTGTGAAGTAAAACAAATAAAAAAGAAAAAAAAGAAAATCAGAAATTTATTTTAATTATATATTTAGTTATTTAAAGCTCATTGTGATTATATGGAAAGAACAAAAATTTTATATGGAACTGATCGATTAGATCAGTTATCTGCAACACAGAATGCTCCACGTTCTCGGTTAGTTTTGTTTGTTGTTTTTTTTCAATTAAAATTTCGAAGGATATTAAACAATGAAGAGCAGATTCTCATTCGTTGAAAAATGATTAAAGAAAATTTTTATGCAAATCGTCCATACATAATGAAAAACAAAATTCATTGTCTTTTGCTTTTTCAAATAAGAAATGATTGATACGAAATTCACTAATTTAAACGATTGAAGTTCACTAAAACAAAAATTTTATTATTTTACTACCGAGTACCAGGTAGAGCCTGTCGAGTTGGTCCTGAACTTGATGAGGTTCGAGACCGAGACAGAGAGAGTCATACTCTAAAAGTAACAGTCAATTATGACTTGATTATTATAAGATCATCTGAAAAATGTGTAGGATGTGTTAATAACAGAATAGAAATCACCGATAGAAAGTATTCCGTACTTTTGGAGCGACTTGAAAGTTCAGGCTAAAAATTTTCGCTAAAAATATGAGTAAAGTTCGGATCAGAAAAAGTTTAATCAACCAGATATGAGTCTGAAATATGTTAAATAAATCAAATCCAGGTTCAAAAATTTTAGATTCAACAGGTTCTAGTACTGATTGATGACTCATATTCTACATAGTTATTTATTGTAATGTATACTATACAGACTATTATTTAGTCACAAATTGATATATCGATTTCCGAGCTGAACAAGTGCTCGTATTCGAATGAATCTGTATTTGTCACAATGAAAATTATTTTTTTTATTAATATTATAGAAGTAACCTTCCATTAACATCACAGCAACAATCTCAATTATTAGACAATAAACAAGCACCTTCTAATGAAACATTAACCGATGAAATGACTCCTCCACGTCCAGATATTTCTTTTCAGTAAATTTTTATCAAATTCATAAATTTTTATTTTTTTATTTTTTTCATAATAGAACTTTTAAACAACCAACTATTGGTGTTAATTTTCGTTCTGAACTTGAAGCTGCTGATGGTAAACAGACTCAGACTGAATCGATGACCAGTAATGATGCAGCTGTAAATACAGGTATATATCCTTTCTCTTTTTTTTCCATTCAAACCCTTTCCCTTTCTCGTACACAAAAAAAAACCTAAAATTCAGAAAAAAAAATTCCATATTCAAACTTAGCTTTTCATGGTGACTGGGTAGAGAATTGGCCAAATAGTTGTAAGTAAATGAATTCCTTTTTTCTTGTCCTAAGGATGAATGATATGCAAGAATTACAAAAAAAAAACACTTGTATTTGACTAGTGCATGATTTTGTAATATGCATAAATATTTTCAGCTAAATCGGCAAAATCTACATCAACAATATCAATAACAAATTCATCAAAAATGTCTGATGAAACGCCTTTAAAAGAATTCGCATCAGGTCGGCTAGCTATTGTAAAATTCATGTTGTCTAAATGTTTGTTGTTTTTGTCAAAATGTGCTCGTATAATTAAATGAAAATGCCAATGCTGAGTTGAGAAAAGAAGAAAATCGAGTTTTCCTTTTTTTTTTTTTTTGTCTTTTTTCATTAGAAAAACAAAAGCAGAAATCGAGATTTTATTATTTAATCTAGATTTTGATGATTCTAATATTGAAAAATATAAACATGGTAAGAGATAGTCTTTCCGAATAGCAGCAGCAGCAGCAGCATGTATTTCGCAGTTTTATTTCGACTGGCAATAATTCCAACTACCACATAAAGCTATTCTTATTTTTAATCCCCAAATCAATAAACGCATGAGAGAATAATACATAATGCAAATTGGAGTCTTTTTTCTCATTTCCCGATTTAACTGAATTTTTATGCTGCTTATGCTTTTGCTTATTTGTATGCATTCTATTGTAAATTTCGTTTTTTATTTTTATAATTCTCTTGTACCTGAGAATATTTGCATTTTGTTTGTTTGTGTATTGTCTATGTTGCATGCTATGTAGGAATATTCTCGAAACTTCGAAGTCTCAATCTACTATCGGAACCGTTTGATGAACAACAATTCTTCGTTAATGAAGATGAATTCGAACAGACAAACAATACTGCAGGTGATCTGAATCAAAATAGTTTGAGAAAGGAAAAAAAGGAAAATAATACGTATAAAAAAAACTTCTTTTGCATGTGCATGTCAAAAAAAAATTTTGTTTTTTGTTTTTTGATTTTTGTTCTAAATTAGTTAATTTAATTTATAAATGATATTGATTTTAATATAGATGTTGCAGCTAGTGATGATGATGATGATATATCAGCAAATGATGCGTAAGTTAAACATATTTATTTCAATAAAATTATAATTGAATTTTTCTTTTTTTTTTGTAGGAAAAATTCCGAAGCTTTTTATAAAGAAACACAAAACGAAAATATCGATATATCAGATATGGATTCATCAGCGGATTTATTTGGTAAATAGAGATTAATTATTTGATTTTTTTTTTGTTTTATTTATCTCTTATTTCTTTTTTTGAATTCTTATTCAGTTCGACAAAGTTTTTACGGTGAGAATTTCTTGTTGTAAAATGGGCATAGGAACTTCCTTGTTTTGTTTTCCTCTCTTTTTTTTTTCTTTTTTATTAATGCTTGAATGGATCTAACACTAATATTGTTATTTTGTTTTTCATTAGTATCTATTAGCTATTATATTTTATTTTCAATGATTTAGGTATGACAAAAGAAGTATCAAATTTAATTAAAGAAAATAATGAACTTCTTGAAACAAAGTATTTAAAATTAAAAAATAATAATAAGAAAAATATTCTTTTATGTTTATTTGAATAGAAATGCATTGAATGTACTTAAAGATGATTTATTAGTAAAAATTGAAGAATTAACAAAGTAAAATAGAATTGTTTAATATATATACACTTGATAAATATATATATATATATTTTATTTGTAGTGAACAAGAAATTCTTCGAGAAGAAGTTAGTTCATTACAAACAGTTAAAAGTCGATTACAATCGAGGTAAAAAACAAAAAGAAAATTTTCGAATGACTAAAAACAAAAATTTCATATTATAGAATAACTGAAGTTGAAGATGAACTTCGTAAAACACGTGAAGAACTTGAAAAAAAGAAAAAAGAAGAAGAGGTAAGATTTTTAATAAAAATCTTTATAAGCATGAAAAACCAAAAGAAAAAAAAAATGAATTTGCATGTAGTACTTATCATAATAATACTCTCTAATAGATTCTTGACTTACTTTGGAATGTAAGTTTATTAAAAAAAAAAAAAAAGAAATATTTGATCTTTTTGCTGCTCTACTATTATCGATGGATAATTAGATTTATTTAAATAATTGCTATGATATTTTTATATAATGAATTGTTTTTTTTTTGTGTCTTTAATAATATATTATATTCTAACAGGAAGATGTACCGATGGCAGATAGAAAGCGTTTTACTCGAGTTGAAATGCAACGTGTTCTTCTTGAACGTAATCAATACAAACAACGTTTATTTGAACTTGAAGAAGCTATTCATTGGCAAGATGCTTTACGTGCATCTAGACAAGAACAAATGCATACAACGTCAGCTATGAATACAATGAATGATAGTGCATTTGATCATACACAAAACAAGAAAAGAACAACATTTTGGAAACTGTGAGTTAATAAAAAAAAAGATTTTATAATGAAATTAGAAAATTTGTGTTGTACCCTTAATTGTTAAAGAAAAACGATTCTCGCATTCTATCTATCCGTTCGGTACATTTTTCATTCTATTAGATATTTACTAATGTATGCATGAAATGATCAAGCTTATGACCAAACAAAATAAAAAGAAAAATTAATACCTTCGAATGGATACCATTCTTTTTTCCTTATAGAGAATTTCGATGAAAAGCAAAGGTACACAAACAAAAATACGTTATCAACAAATAGTACAACAAAATCCTTCATCTCCATCATCAACAAATTCTTCTAAAACTCCATCAAAATCTTTGTGGAGTATGTTCAGTAATAACTGGCTGCCTACAAATGCTTTCGTTTCACGTGCTGGTGCTATACAGAATGATTTAAAAGAGGGTACAACACAAATTTCTGAGTTGTAAGAATAAAAAAAGAAATAATAACAACTATGACTCTATTAGAATAAATATATTTTTATTTAGTTTTTTTTTTCTTATTTCTATTGAATCTTCTAGTTTTTCGGGATTATTTGGTGCTAGTGTTAAAGATATTCCACCAAAACGTACAGCTACAACAAATCTATCATCACTTTCTACAACAATTACACGTAGTCCAACAAATGATCAAATAACACCAATCATCAATAGACAAGAAAATACAACAGATGAAACTCATCCATTAGAACGATCAATATCAGAGAGGTTTGATTTTTTATTAATATTTCTCAATGATAAAAATTTCGATATAGACCATTCCACACAAAATGAAACATATCCATCTTTGATTATTTACAAGAATTATTTTTCTGAATAAATTTTTTTAGTATAGATATATGGAAAAATATTGGCTCTTTCAGTTGACTATTAGTTAAAGAGTAATTAGCAAATATCTCTCTAAGCATATGAGAAAAAAAATCGAAACACTTCAAGATAAACTCCACGGAATGAATCACATCTATGATGAAATTTTCAGGAAGATAGGGCTCCAAAAAAACTGCCTCTTAAAAAAACACAGTTTTCTAGAAATTCTGAAGAAGGATTTATATCGTTTGAAATTGACTTTGAACTTATCATTCGGTGATAAGAGCATTTTTTTGTACTCCGTGAGGTCACTAACGAAAAGCAAATTGTTTGTTTTGAAAAAATCGAGGTATGCCAAAAAAAACATTGGAGAGAGAGTTTTCAGCCTCAGGATATACACTATACTTTTAAAAAAAAATACTATCTTGATTCATAGTTTTTTTAACTAAAATGCATGAAGTGAAAGTCAATATCATTTTACTCTCTTTTTTTTACTGATAACTCTCCGAAATAAAGATCTCTTGCACTGTGACATATAAAAATTAGCTCTAGGAGAATTTCTTATTCCGAAACGCATGTATTCTAATTTTGCCTAGTCATGTCGTTAACGAATGATCCTGTCTATATGTATATAAGTTATTTTTTCCTTTAATTTAGTACGACAGTTATTGATATACCAAAACAATCATCATCATCAACACGTCGGAGTAGTTCAATATTAATTAACGATGATAATCGTCTTCAAGCATATGGTTGGAGTTTATCATCAAAAAATCAATTGAAATTATCTGAAATAAATGGTAGAGTTCAAGTTAATGTACCTGTGCCGGTTTATTGTCGACCAATATTTCATACAAATGATACAACACAAGTAGTAATTAAAAAAGAAAACAATTTTTTTGTCTTATTCAAATTTATTTAGATATGGTGTGCTGTTGGTATTGATCTCGATGGTTCATCATTAACTAATGATGATCTATCAACAATAAATGAAACATCTGTTGATCAATTAAATAAACAATTAATTGAATCATATCATCAAATGATTGATGAACAATTTTTAAAATTATCATCAATTGTTTGGATTGCTGCTAAATCAAATGATACAGCTATGATTACAATTATTGATGCAAATAAAGCTGAAAAAATTATTGATACATTTACATTAGGAAATACTATTGTTTATACTATGGGTAGTGTTCCAGGTAAAAAAAAATAAACAAAATTCTTTTGATTATTTGTTTTGTTTTTTTTTGAATAAATTTTTATAGGACCATCAAGTACAGATTATTCACCATTTGATGATTCAAAATGGACTTTATTTGAAGCTGATACAGCATCAGCTAGTGGTAATATTCGAAGAAAAAAATCTTTTTTTTATTTACAAAAAAAGAAATTATTCATTTAGATGTAAAAATAACACCATGTACTGTTGCATCACTTTCTATAGGTGGAAGTAAGATTTTGGTTTCTATTTTGTATTTTAGAAAATAAATATCTACAATTATGGTTTTGTTTTAGGTCGTCCAAGTACATCAGAAACACATCCACTTGAATTAAAAGCATCTGAACAAACTTTAACTGATTTAGCTCGTCAACGTTAGTATTTAATTAATAAAAATATCTATTCAATAGATATGTATTTTAATAGAAGAAAAGAAAAATAAAGAGAATAGAACGCGTTCTGGTTCGAAAACATTTTTCTCTTGGTCAGGTTTTGCTCGTCGAAATGATAGTAACGCTCATTGCCTCGGTTTTTTTATGCTGCTCTGATTGTTTAATTTTTTTTTTTCGATGAATATGAATTTATACTGTCATGAAAAATTGCTCAGACAGATTTAATTTCAATCTTTTTTTTCTCTAATAGCAACTGGCATAAAGAATCAAAATAGTAATTTGAATAAAGAAATTTGTTTTCAATAAAGATTTAAAGAAAATAAGATCCTAATTGTATTTTCAAAATTTAGGATTTCTAGAAAATTCAAAACCTAGTTTTTAGCACTCAGAATCTACACGTTTTTTATGATTATACAGGATGATAGAGTAACTTATTCACTAGAAGAAGAGTTGTCTCCGAGCTTTCTACAGCATTTTTTCACTGAACTACATCAATTTCAAGAAACACACATTGCTCTATCATACTGTGTGATCAAAAGAAACTTTTACGTCGAAGTTCTACATGCTGGAAAACCAAGTTTTGGATTTTAGGAATGCAGTAGAACTTGTCCGGTGCAAAACTTTTGGACTCGATCGAGCTGTGCTGTGATATTCTCAATGAAAATTTTCTAATAGAAATTGAATAGTCACCCCAAAGATACGAGATACTTTTTTCTCTTTTTTTTTTTGTATTCTGTAACAAGTGCACCTTGCATATTTTACAGATGACTAGAGTCCATCAAATCTGAAACCAACCTCATGAGCTTTATACTACTGTGAAGATTTTGTTTTTCTCAAATCTTTGTTGACAACAAATTTCTCTATCTAAGCCACTATTTAGATTCCTTATGTCAGTTACTATTACGAAAAAAAATCGAAATTAAATTTGTCATGATTAATTTTTGGAATCAGTGTATGTGAATCTGTGGTCTCTTTTTTTAGCCGACAATGAAGATAAAACAAATTCATCAACGAAATATCCAACTGTTTGGTTAGGATCAGGTGATGGATGGTTATATATTCATTCAGCGATAAGTGAACATCGAAAAACAATTGAAAAAATTTGGCTTCGGCATGCTATTTATAGTATTGTGTAAGAAAATAATTCTAAGAACAAAAAAAGAAAAGAAAATAATTTATTTTATATTCTATTAGTCATGTTCGTGGTCGAGTATTTGTTACACTTGCTAATGAAAAAATGATTGTATTTCATCGTAATATAGGTACAGAAAAAAAAGCAATCTAAAGAAAAAAGAAAATAAATAAAATTTTATTTTTTTTTATTTTAAAGATGGAACATGGAATTTAAGTAATATTCATTTAATTGTAACTGGTAAAAGTCGAGAATCAGTACGATGTATGATTAATGTTGGAGACACAATATGGTGTGGTGTAGCTAATCGAGTTTATGTTATTCATACACAAACATTAGAAGTTCGAGTATGTTTAATATTGATTTATTATTATTATGATTTTAATTAAAAAATTGTTTTTTTTTTGTGAACGATTAGAAACAATTTGATGTTCATTCACGATCAGATCATTCTGTTCAACATATGACTTGGTCTGGTGATGGTGTTTGGTTATCAATTCGTTTGTCAAGTACTTTACAGTTATATCATGCACAAACATATCAACATTTACAAGATGTTGATGTACAACCATATGTTGAAAAAATGATTGGTAAACTTTTTTCTTTTCCAATAATATTTATATTCATATTTGTTTTTTATTTTTATTTTATTTTGTTTCTCTTTTTAGCAACGGAAAAAGCTGGTCTTTATTTTGTTCATATTAGTGCATTGACGATTGCATGTCGTCGTCTATGGATTGGTACTGGTAATGGTATTATTATTTCTGTTCCACTTTCTGACAGTAAGTATCATCAAAAAATTATTTAATTATTCAAGATAAATCTTATTGATTAACATTACAATCAACTAGAGAGATAGCGTATATTCAAATTATATTACGAAATGAACTGTTAATAAATCTGAAGAAAGAAGCAAGTTCAAAATAGAGAAAGCTCCCAAATGGATTAGTTGATATTTGAATTAACACTCTTCCCCTCAGGATAAAAGCCTAGTCTCAAGGTTATGATCTTCTAAATGTAATAGAAGGGCAACCTATCAGAATGAATGCATAATAGAAATGCAAATTATTGCAGTGATGGATCTAGGGTTTTAATAAATGGGAAGCATTTTAACGGAAAGAAGAAATGATCAGAGTCATAAGGTGCATTTTGAAGTGAAATCAGACGTCATATTGTCTCATTATTGAGCGTTTTCTAGTGGGAAAAAAATCGAAAAATAGTCCAACAGAAACGGATAATTGTCTCCAGGGCCTCTCTCTAAATTATCGAATAGATTAGTTCATTGCTTTTTGCTGTTGAGTTGTAACTTTTTCTTTTTATGTATCTAATGTCGTTTGTTCCATATGTTTTTTTTTAACAAATAAACGAGTTTCTTTTTATGAGGTCGAAAAAATATGTACGCATTGGCATTAATGAGAAACAGCTGTTCAAAAACTAACGGATAGGATATAGATATGTTTTACTAATATTTTGTTATTGGGATTATAAACAGTCTAGAAATCAAACGATTCAAATTTTTATTAAATTAATAGAAATATGCATATGTCTTTAAGTGAAAAATAAGACATTTCACAAAGCTGAATGAAAAACGGTTGAAAATACACGAAAATTTATCGAACTTCAAAAACAAGTGTTAGTATGAGATGAGTTTGAGATTCATTATTGAAACACTCATAAGATCTGAAATACCTATTTCATAAAAATGAAAAACTCTCATTTGGTAGTAAATAGTCTACTTTATACTTCCAAAAATAATTGATAGAAATATCTCCTTGCGTTTCTAAACTGTACATATGCTTCTAAGATGACATCATCTGGCAGAGTTGTATAGAAGTTTTTTCTCAACTTCTCCGAAGTTCAATAATTTCTCAAGTCAAAGTATCGCAATAAGCACATCTGTATGATTGATGAATGTATCACTCAAGTTATCTGATAATATAGAATTGGAAAAGTATAGAAATTAATTTTCTGTTCTTCGATAACTATCATTGCTGATATCGAAATTCTCAAATAGTTTGAAAACTCCAATTTATCAAATCTTGTATGATTCTGTCTTCGTAAATGAATCAAATCATAACTAAAAATTCATCTTACAAAACAAATTAGAAGTTCAATGAACTACTTCTGTTCTTTGGAAGTCTTTTCATAATAGAGAATAATCTATAGATACTAAATTTTGTTTATTTTTATTTTTGGTCTAGATACATCAACAACAACTGCATCGAGTTCATCAATAACAACAAAACCTGGTTCTGTTGTTCGTGTCTATGATCAAACATCATCAAATTATATTCCATATTGTAGTATGAATAATGCCCAATTATCATTTCATGGTTATCGTGATGCTGTAAAATTTTTTGTTGCTGTACCTGGTCAACCGCCATCAAAATTACTTCATGATGATGAAACAATAAATTCAACATTAACTGCAAATACAACGGATACATCAGCATTAGCATTTGGTGATATACTTGTTGTAAGTGGTGGTGATGGTTACATTGATTTTCGTATTGGAGATTCAACAACAGACAAAATTGATGATATAAGTACTAGCAATAGAAATATATCATATCTTATTGTTTGGCATTTGGGTTCAACGTAAATAATGATTAATTTACTTCCGTATTTTATCGCGTACATATATATTTTTTTCACCTAGTCAGAGAAAGAAAAAAAAAGATTAATACTCTTTTTCTTCTTTTTTTCCTTTTTTTTTTTGTTTACAGTGATGTAACAAAACGCGATAGATTTCTCTATAAATGTATTGATAATTAATATTTACACTTCATATTTCCTGTCCTAATTCTATAAATTTATTATTTATTCTCGTTATTTCATTTTGGTTATACACTGTATTTTATTTGTTTCGACAGAAAGAAAACGAATCTGTTGTTTTGTTGGTTTTCATTTTGATGCTTGGACAGCTTTTAATACATACATACATATATATATATATATATGTATATATATATATATAGATGATTTCTTTTTGTGAACAAAAAACAAAAAAAAAAAAAGAAGAAAAAAATAGAATTTTGAAAATATGTTTTACTGTTTTGTTTTATTTTTCATTTTTTCTTTGGATTTTATTTTCTTGAAAATTTTCGTTTAATGTAATGAAATTAAGCTGATGAATCAATATTAAGTTGTTCGAGTGCGAGAAGTGTATCAGTCATTTTATCTTTAAGATCATCTGGTATAAGATGAGGTCGTATATGAAGTATTTCACTAATTAATTCATCAAAACCATTTTCGATTGATTCAATTAAAACTTCACGAACTATTCGATCAGAACATTTTGGTGATTCGATAAGTAATTTCGAACAATCTAAATCTCGTTTATAAGTTGTAATCACTAATGGATGTGGATAGTTTTCATTTGACTGTTCAATAGTTGCATTAAATGCTAGAAGTAAATAGATAATATTTGCTTGTCCATTAAAACAAGCTAGATGAATTGGATAACATTCATCATGATTAGGTCGATCAGGATAGGCACCTTGTCGTAATAAATAATCGACTAATTCATAATCATTTCGTTCAATAGCCATAAGAAGTGGTGTTTCACCTGAATTTGTACATTCATTTAAATCAAAATCTCCATATTGACACAGAAGTTCGACAAGTTTTACTGAACATTTATCTGAATAACAAGCAGCATGAAGAGGATTTGTTCCTAAGAGTAAAGAAAAAAAGACAATCAATTTTCCTTGTATTTTTTTATTCTTTACAATCAGATAAAAGAATAATTACCTTGACTTGTTTTCCAATCAAGTTTTGCTTTACCCTCGAGTAATAATTGTAGACATTCGACTGATCCACAATGACAACAAGCATAAATAGGATTGAAAATAACACCATCCTCATTTTGATCTAAAAAAAAGAAAGAATTATTTTTTTTTAATTTCTTAACATTTTTCTTTTTCTTCGTTTTTAACATACCAAATTCATTAATATCAAGTCCCATTTGAATTAATTTTTCAAGTATATCTGTATGTCCATAAAAAGCTGCAGCTGTTACATATGATGGACTTTTTTGATCATTAAGTTTAGCTCCATATTTACATAAAAGTGTAACAATATCTAAATTACCCGATTCAATAGCATACATTAAACATGTTTCACCTGTATTTGAACGTTCATTAATTATTTTTAATGTTGATGTATCATCTATAGGTTTTTGTTCATCTAGTAAATATTTTACAAGTAAATAATTTCCACTTGAACATGCATACATAAATGGTGTAAGACCATCACGATCAAATGTATCAATTGATGCACCATGTGAATATAAATATTTAACTATTTCAAGACGTTCTTCAAGTTTTTCAATAATTGTTTCATTTGATGGATTTATACGACGTGCATTATGTTCACTTAATAAACCACGACAAACAAGATGAACTAGAATATCACACAAAAAATAAAATCATCTCGTTAAGAACGTTCGATAAAAGATTTGTCTTTTTTTTCCTTAACTATTTAAGATAAGTTTTCTATTCCGGAATCTATAAACTTTTATGACAGGAAGTTCATCAAACATTACTTATATAACAAAGAAAAAAAAACCCTCACTATTATACAAGAAACCATTATCTGATATATTTTTTTGATTAATGGTTCGCCTGCTGAGTAATTAATCGATGGTATATTTATAGATTTTTTTTTTCTTTTTCTTTTTTCCATATCTTAATTTTGACATAAAGATTTTCGGTTTTTCTTTTTTTTTCAGATTATCTGCTGATGTGGAAAATCGTCTTTTTTCATTCATTAATATTTAATATCTAATAACAAATTTCCTGCCTAAAAATGGTAATGAATATATATATGCACAACGTTTGATCATTTCCGTCCCAAGCTAGATTATTATAATTTTGACCTTGATTTAACATATGCATAAAAGTTTTTTTCTAGTTTGTTTTTTTCTATTAAACTGGTTATGAATATATATATATATATATATATTATTCAATAACCTTCTTTTATCCCAGGAGATATTCTCATTAAACTTCTTGTTTTTTTAATAGGCTATCCCTTGATAATAAACTATTAATAAAATAAAACTTATTTTATTAATGAATAGATAACCTTGAAAGATAGATGACTATAAGTCTTTATTTTTTCTCACCTGGAGATCTTTCATCATTTTGGTTTCCATTAACACTTGCTCCATTTTCTACAAGTATTTTAACAATTTCAAAATTACCATAAAAACATGCTTCTAAAAAAAAAACCCAGTTTCTTAAAATAAAAATTTCTTTTTTCTTCTCTTATAAAAATTTTTACCACATAGAGGAGTATATTGTAAACTATTGATTGCATTAATATTAGATTTATATTGAAGTAATAATTGAACAACATGTTCATTAGTAAATTTAGATGCCCAATGTAAAGCTGTATCGTGACGTGATGTGACTAGATTAACATCAGCACCGGCTTCTAATAAATATTTTACAGTATCAGTTGTTTCATTAATAATATTTTCCGGTCCAATACCACAGGCAAAATGTAATGGAGTAATACCTAGATAGAAATTTGAGATTATTTTATTTGTTCTTCTTTTATTTATATTAATAATAAATATATACCAGAGAGTTGATCATTTTTCACAAATGTACATGTTTCATTTGGATCTGCTTTTCGTTCATCAAGTAGATATTTAACTAGTTTTGATAATGCATAACCTGATGCAGCATGTAGTATTGTTAAATTTGGTATACCACTATAAATAACTTCTCGATCGAGTAATTCTTCAAGAAAATTTAATTCATTTTGTTTATAAGCTTGAAGAATAATATCAGTACATAAACGCATATCTTGTGTACGTGAAAGATCTAATAAATGATTAAGTTCAATATCAAATTGTGTACGATCATCTTGATAGAATATTCGAATTAATAAATCGAATGAAGAATTATTATTAATATTGTCAGACATATTATTTGTATTTATCTAGAAGAATAAGGAAAAAAAAAGAAAAATAATGATGAATGAATGCTTATTTGTTATAGAAAAGGAAAGGTCTTTTTTTTTTAGTCATAAATATAACTCTTCTCGCTCGGTCTCTCTCTCACACACTCTCGTTCCTGATTTTGATAGTTCTTTACTTTCTCTACGTCGCTGTGTGTGTCTGTGTGGGTGTGCACGAGCCGTTGTCAGAGAAACTTAACAACATCGTTAATGACTGAACTCAAAGAATGAATAAGAGAATAGTTGTGCTATGTAATTTAGGATCACATGTATCTTTCGTTCCCTAACACTTATCTTTTTTTTTAAACATATTCTTCAGAATGTTTACTTATATCGTCTAAAAATATAGATGATAAGAAACAATCTTCAATAGACAATATATTTTAATAATAATAGCACTAACACAGACACTCCACCAATTTCCTATGCAAGTGCGTGACAAACGAAAAGAAAAGAAAAAAAAATGCACTAGCCATAGCCAAAGGAGCGCTTGAGTCAATTTGATTACATGAGTATCTTTCTCTCTTCTTTGTTCTTGCAACAAACATTCAAGTAAAGAAAAGAGGAAAAAAAAGTCTATGCAAATAAATGCGGAAACATCCGCATGTCCGAATTACCAAACAGTAGTCGATCTCTTCTCTGTCTTTTCCTTCACAACATTGAATTTTAGACTGATGATCTTTTTTTTTGTTCTCTCTCTCTCTCTCACACACACACACACGCTCTTTCTTTCTTTCTCATGAGAACATAAAAAACGAGAGTTGATTGGCAATGAGAATGTCTATGGCAACAACAACAACGAAATTACTAATTCTAGTATAATTTGAATGAATAGATAAATTATTAAACGTCCTTTTGACTATAATACTGTTTTTTGATTGCTTTCAATTGTTATATTCCTATCTTTAGATATAAATATATATATATATAAGAAAAAAAAAAAATATATATATATATATATGATTGCCTTTGATCGACAGACACACTTGTCAAAATATTGGTTTCTTTATGGAATTTTTTTTTCTATTATATTAGCTTTTATTTATCCTGAATTTGGCTCAACAGAAGGTCATTATTAATAAATATAATAATCGATCAAAGATAAAAATAGAAATAGAAATATTCTTTTTGATGTTATCTAGGTCCATTAAAACCTGAATGGACAATAAAATTATTAGGAACAATAATCATTTTTTTATTGAATGGTTGTTCAATACGAAGCGAGGTGAAACAAAAAACAAATAAAAAAAGAATTTAAATGTATTTTTTCAACAAAAATTATTCTATTCATTGAATAAAATAGGAACTTTATCGAACAGTTCTTCAATATCGAATTCATTTATTTATTCAAATATTTTCATTTATTATTTGTCCTTTTCTATTTACAATATTGTCTACTATCTATCGATCATTAACATATCAATACCAAGTTGCTATTGGGTAGAATTTCTTTTAATTAATCTCATCAATTTTATTGTTTTATTTTTAGAATAAAAGCATTAGGAACTTTACCATCACCAGTATCTACTGCTGCTTATGTTGTTCGAGCTATTGGTGGAAATGAAGTAAATCAAAAAAAAAAGAATAAGAAAAGATTTTATTTTTATTTTTTATTATTATTAATTTATTATT